GCAGGCGTTGCTGAGCACCCACAACACGCCAGGCGTGCATGCGGGTCGGGACAGAGAAGTCCTTGCTTCGTGGGCCTTAACTTCTACAGGGAGTGAGAGACACTAAACACATTAGCTAACATGTGCTCTTCTGTCAGCCACTGAGGAAGGGGTGAGGAAATATCGCACAGGGTGTGGGGGTAGAGGAAGGTTTTCATCGAGATGGCAGAGCCTCGAAGGAAGGGAGGGACAGACCATTCAGAGTTCTAGAAAAAATGTGTTGCTGGTGGAGGGAGCAGCGAGGACAAAGGATCTAAGGTGGAAAAGAGCTTGGCGGCTTGAAGGAAGAGCGAGAGGGATGAGAGGGACATGCAGCTGACCTTGGGAGACCAGGCAGGGGCCACCTCAGCACAAGCCTCTCGGGGTATCTTTTCATGGCGGTGGTGGGGATGGGGAGATGATGTGAGCTGATTCCCATTTGTAAGAGATGGCTGTGGCTTTGGTGATAGCAGTCAGAGGATGAGAGAGAATGGCGGCTTGAGGAAGGTGCCAGAGGTGAGGGTGGTGAGGTCAGGAGCAGGTGTATCCTGAAGGCAGAGTCCATAGGATTTACTGAGAGTCAGGAAGGAGAGGAAGCAAAGGCTGAACCTTAGATTTGGGAGGAGTTGGGGTGAAGCCCTAGGAAAGGAACAGTGTGTGTGTGTGTGCGTGTGTGTGTGCGCGCGCGCACACGTGTGTGCGTGAGCCCAGGTTCAGTCTGAGATCCTAGCAGACATCTGGTGGAGATGAAGATTGGCTACACAACTCTGGATTCAGGGAAGAGAAAGTGCTTTGAGTTCCTCAGTAACAGAGACAACTGTGTTGGTGGGATTCTGGGGCATTCTCGCATGACTTCTCTCAGTGTTGCAATGACACTAGTATTGATAAAAGTATCAAAAGGAGTATTGATAAGGGTCACTGTAAGCTTGTAAGTGCCAGGCACCAGGCTGAGGCCTCATGTGCATGATCTCACTCAATCCTTGTATGTCCTTAATATCCCAGCTTTGCAGGTGAAGGAAACCGAGGCACAGAGAGGTGGTGAGTCACGATTCGTTTTCAGAGAAGTACTTCGTTGTGGGGGGTCGCAGGCAGCCCGCTCTCCAGTATGACACTAGGCTGCTTCCACACACGCCTTTACTTCCAAGGAACCCTTCCTTCCTCAGCCCTGTGCTGTGTACATTCAACAGCTGGATGTTGTGACAGACTCATGGCGGGCACGAACTCTGGGGACACGGGTGGAAGTCCTGCCTGTAGAATTCATTGGAAGCTTTGTTTTGGGGAGCATTAAGGAGTAGAGTTCACAAAATGTCTTCCAGGCAGAGTTTATTCATGCCTGCTGTCTTTTCTTCACCCTCTGTTCCTCCTCCAGTCACCAGCCGGCTTCTGCCAGCCTAACCCCTTCTAGCCAACTTTCATTTCCTGGCCGTGCCAGCCTGATTACTTCTAATTGTCTTTGACTGCTTCCAGCTGGGTCTCCTAGCTGGCATTCTGTGGGAGCTCAGAGACAGCCGCCAGCCATATGGAGCGAGGAGATGGGGAAGGCGATGGGAAGGAAGGAAGCGGCGGGTACAAGTCCACGGGACAAAGTGTTTTGTGGCTTCCCAGTCCACTGCGAGAGGTCATGTTTCTTAAAGGGGTCACTCACCCAAGTTACACGATGGCTTCTCTTTGGCAAGACAAATGGTCGCTGACCCTCAATGGCAACCAACAATCTAACTACAAACGCTTTTAGAGACTCATGAGAAGTGGTTCTCCCCAGGACAGATGGAGCTGTGCTGTCAGGAGCCATGAAACTCTACTCACTGGAGAATCAGTGAGTGATTACTTTCATTCGTTTATTCAACAAATATTTATTGAACAATGGCCATGTCTCAGGCACTGTGTTGGGTGCCGTGGGGCAAACAGAATAGAAATTAAGGCACAGCTCCTGTTCTCAGTGAGCCTAAGAGGGGAGAAAGCCACCCGTGGTAAGACACACAAGTGTGAAATGAATATGAGAGGCTGGAGCAGTGATGAGCCTTTGATAGCTTGCTGACTGAGAAGCGTATCGTGGGACAGGGAGCGTCTGTACCGGGTAGAAATGGGTTGGCAGCAGACTGGTAGGGTGGGCGTGGCATCAGGAGAGTTGCAGAGGTGAGGAAGCCCTATTCTGGATGAAGACAACTGAAATGTAGTGCTCAGGGAGGTCCCCCAGGAGGACAGGAAATCTAGCTGAGGATAACTCATAGAGAATCTTCAATGTTGTACTGTTGCTTTTCAACCGCATGTTTTCTGTGTATCTATTATGAGAGCAATAGACTGGTTTGGGTACTGATTTGTTTTACATAAGGGAGTTTCTGGGATTACTCCTTTTTAAACAAGACCATTTCAGAGAAGAGGACCCGCAGTTCAAACACCAGCTCCTAAGCCCAGGCAGGGGTAGGATTTGGACTTCTCTTTGGCATGCATCCCAGCTGATGGAATTAGCAGTGAACTTGAATCAAACCCAGGCATCAGGCTTGAAAAAGATTTAATAGCCCTGGATTTTCTCTCTTCTTCACCCCTTTTCTGACCTCTATCCTGAGAGCATAATTAAAAGGAAAGAAAATCTCTACTTTATTGTAAACATCTTGTACCATTTTTGTGTCTAAGGCTAACTTTTTTTTTCAAGGCCGTGAAGATACGTTGATGGTCTCTGAAGTTTGCCTTATACCATAATAAAGGAACCTCCAATTTTTCATTTACAATGTCCTAAAAATTAAAAAAAATCATACTCTAGGGGTGCCTGGGTAGCTCAGTCGGTTAAGCGTCCGACTTTGGCTCAGGTCATGATCACATGGTATGTGGGTTCGAGCCCCGCGTGGGGCTTTGTGCTGACAGCTCAGAGCCTGGAGCCCGTTTCAGATTCTGTGTCTCCCCCTCTCTCTGACCCTCCCCTGCTCACGCTGTATTCCTCTCTCAGAAATAATAAGACATTTAAAAAAAAATCATGCTCTATTAACAAACAACATTGGGGGAAACCCCAAAACATTTTCTGAAAGAAGATTCAGAATGGTTATGACCCAAAGGGAGCTCCATATTCTTCATTCATTAGACATTGTTGACCATTTTACTTTACAGGGACTATGGGGGTCATACAGCTCACCCCCCAAGTAACTGTCCTCAAGTTTGATTGTCGAATCAAGAGACATTAAAGCGACTGGACTGGTTTTGCAGAAATTGCGTGGGGGTGGGGTGGTGGCACAGCCTTGTAAGCATAGGAAGAAAAACATTCGAAAAACATGTAATATTGGAAAATGGGGACAATGAGAACACGGACAGAAAACACCAGCTCAGTCTTTAATGAGGCTGGTGACTCGTAACTTGTGAGTGGTCACAGCATATTTCACGTTAGATCTATTTAAATTAGGCTTTTCTCTGCTTCGCTTTTCAGATGGGTCAAAGGGCCCCCAACTGAATCAATGACAGCTGTGCCCCCTCCGCGCCCCGGCCCCGAGCACTGATGCGGATCCTGCCACGCTCATTCACCAAGGAGTCAATAAAGACAGGAACTTGATTAGGACCCAATCCTCCTTTCAACTCTGATGCAATGCCAGGGGTTAAGTATGCATTAAACGCTGGCGCCTTTTATCTGGCTGCTCAACAGGTAGTATTTTGTAAACGCTATCCTTCACCTACCTCCCCCTCCCCCAAGCTTCTCCCTCCCGAGATTCCTCATTTTTGGTTCGGGAAGACGCTGGGGATCCTGGCGAAAATCAGAGTCGTCTGGGCAGCTGCACTTGTTTATGAGGGATGAGCACAGTCACGGCGCGCACAGAACAAAAGCCTTCAGGAGCAGGGAGCGCGGATCCACCTCCTCCTGCAATCACCGGCTTCATTTCAATGGAAAGCAAAGGTGTAAATGCACAAGCAGAGGCAGCAAACGCCCAGGTTCCTACGTTGCTGCCGCCACTATTATTGTTGCGGCTGCTCCGCCTCCAACCCAGCAATCGGGTCCGCGCGCGAGCCCGGACAGACCCATCCATCCAGGGTCCACAGGGCCCTACTGTGTGCCAGGCCCTGGACTGGACACCTAGCTCCTAACCCCAGTGCACTGGGCTCGAGAGCCCTGCCTCGGCCCCTAGCCCTCCTCCGGCCCCGGGTGGGTGCGGCTAGGGGTGGGGGTTGGATTTCATCGCCGAAAGGTCCAGAAAAAGACCAAGACCAGAATCCCGGCGAGAGGCGCAGCCGGAGGAGCCCGGCTCTGGCGGCGGCCCGGGAGCGCGCGTCTCCGAGGCCGCGCGGGGTCCCCGCGTCTGGCGCTCAGGTGGCTCCGCCGCCCACTCCGCCGCTCCCCTCCCCGCGCCCTCCCCTCGCCAGCGAGGGTCGAGTTTGGCTGTTGCGCGCGGGGAAGGAGGGGCTACGAGGGATTTGAAAGTGCACAGGCTGCGGAGTGGAGCTCGCATCTGTTCCCGCCGCCCGCGACCGGATTGAATTTCTGCAAATTCAAACTGAATGGGGCTTTCTTCTGCTGCCTTCCAGAGGGCGCCTGCAGCCCGCCGCGCGCTGCTCTCGGGCGGGAGCGGGCCCCCGGCGCACAGCTAGGGCGAGCGAGCCGGCCCCGAGCCCGCGCGGGCCAGCCGCCGGCGGCAGGGCGGAGGCTGCGGAGGCGCCCGGGCTCCGGGACCCCGGACCCGGGACCCGACCGCGCCCCCCGCCAGCCGGGCTCGCCGCGCGCGCGCGCGCCAGCGGGGCGACTGTCATCAGCCGCCGCACGGGACCCGGGCGGGGGTCCGGGGTGCCGGCAGGGGCCCGGGCGACCCTCGGAAGAAGAACTTCTTGGGGGCGGGTCCGCGACACCCAGTCGCCCGCTATTGTCTGCGCGCGGCGCGCGGCGGCGGCCCGGGGCGCGGGAGACGCGGGCCGGGCGGGGCCGGGCCCAGGGCGGCGGCGGGAGGAGCCCGGGCGGCCGGAGGCGGCGGCGGCGGGAGCCGAGCGGAGCCGGCGGGCCGCGGGCGAGCGCGATGCCGGCGGCGGCGGGGGACGGGCTGCTGGGCGAGCCGGCGGCGCCCGGGGGCGGCGGCGGCGGCGCCGAGGACGCGGCCAGGCCGGCGGCGGCCTGCGAGGGAAGTTTCCTGCCCGCCTGGGTGAGCGGCGTGCCCCGCGAGCGGCTCCGCGACTTCCAGCACCACAAGCGCGTGGGCAACTACCTCATCGGCAGCAGGAAGCTGGGCGAGGGCTCCTTCGCCAAGGTGCGCGAGGGGCTGCACGTGCTGACCGGAGAGAAGGTGAGGCGCCCGGGGCGCGGGGGTGGCGGGCGGCGGGGACCCTGCCGCGAGCACTGCGCGGGGAGTCCGGCCCCATAGCCCCGTAGTCTCGGCCCCGGCGCCTCCCCTCCGCCCGCTTCCTCTCGGGTTGAAAGAGGGGACGAGCCAAACGCGCGCGTGGGTCCCCGCGGCCGGACTGCCAGCCTGTCCCGGGGGGCGGGGGGTGGTTGGGGGGTGGTCGGGGGTCGGCTTCCCGGGTGGGGGCGGCTGGTTGACCTGCAAAGCCGCCTGCAGCCTTTATGCTCCTCGAAGGGCGCCGCCTGGTGGACAGCAGCGCGTGGGGTGGTGGAGGGGTTCTGCTCTTGGGGTCCCTCCCCACAGGGGCCCCCCGATCCGTGGAGCGGCGGGAGCCAGTCCTGTTACGTTGCGTGGGCCACTGTGTTGAGGGTGGAAGAGCCGCTTTGGGGAAGCTTTGAGTCTGATTTCCCTGCAGGGCTTAGGAGGTGGGGGAAGCCTGAGACCCCAGGAACATTTTCCACCTGTGGGCTGGGGCAGCTAGGGAAGTTTTTCGTGCGCAGACGAGGGTTTTCACAGGGTCCCCCTCCACCCACCCATCCCCCCGCTCCTGCTTTGCAATATCTCCCACCCCTCCACCCTCAACCATGCCCGTCTCCTTCCCTCCATCCCTCCTCCGTCCTCCTCAGCTACTGGGTGGGAGGTTTAGTAAGGACCCTGCCCCGGCAGGGAGCACACTGATACCCCCAGATTTCAGGGGCTAGGAGAGAGCCTTCATATCTTTCGAGAAGAAGAGAAAGCAAGGGAGGAACCGCAGGGACCGAGAGGGGCACCCTCTCCAGACTTGTGTGAGAAGTTGGACGGCTGTGAACCTTTGTTAGGTGCTGCCGAGGTAGATCTAAGCTGTGGCTCGGCTCTGAGAGAAGAAACCCAAGATATGATGACTTACTTTGGAAGTGAGAGGCGGGGGAGGCGGGGGGGGGGGGCGGGGGGTCACCTCAAGCGGTGAGGCTGCCCCAGCCTGCGAGTTGCCCAAGTTTTGGGGCAAGCTCATGGTCTTTTCAGCCTCAAGATTCCCCTGCTCTCCTCTAAGCCTTGGAGTGGCTCATTGAGCAGGGAAGCAACAGCCCCGTGGGGGGACCGGAGGCTGAGGCTTCCTATCTGCCCTCCCGCCCACTGACCTGGGGTCCTCCACCCAGCCTGGGTGTCCCTGGTAACGCTGTACACTGGACCTCTGATGCTAGGGGCAGCCAGCCTGCTCGTCTGTGCCCAGCTTCACCAGCTTCCCTGTCCCTCCTCCTTTCCGCACTGTGTCCTGAAGCCCCTTGCATTTGAGTGCGGGTCTCTGTCTCCCCCTTGTCTCTGGCCACCTGTTCCTACCTCTCCAGGTGGAGCACCTTTGTTCTGGGTAGGTGGGGTTGGAGTGGGTAGTTGAAAAAGTGCCTCTTGCTTGAATTCCCATGTAAAAAGGGAATGTGTGGAATGAACTCACCGAGTTGAGTAACTCTTCAAAGAAGAAGAAAAAACACTCCTAACCTCATTCTTGTCCAAAGGGGGCATAGCATCCTTAACTCCCGTGGCTGGCGGCGGGCTGGCCAACTTGTGCATCTGGCCCAGGCCCCCCTTGCTAACGATAGCACGCTCACTTCCCCATCCCTGGGTAAATCCCTGCCGGCATGGGTTGTAGAACTTGATTTTCCTTTGAAATGTATAGGAATTCCGTCTGGTTGTGCATGTTCCTGCTTGAACCTCAGCAAAGAGGGACGGGACTTTATACCTATACCGACAGCATATGGCCAGCATTACGAGCACATTCATCTCGCCTGCCCCACCGCCCAGCCCCTTCTGGCTTCTCTCCACTTTCCCATGCCATGTTGTGTCCCCAGCGTCTCACCGGTGCGTTCTTGCTCCATAGCATAAGGCTGTTGGTCTTGGCTGAGCTGGGCGAGGATGCGCTTGCAGCTCAGCCCCTATTCGGGGCTTCTGGAGCTCTGGGCTGAGCCCCCAGGACAGCCTGGGTGCAGGGAGTTCTTGCCCAAATGGGGTCTGAGTGAGGAGCCTTCTATACCCTTAGGGGTTCATGCCCTTTCTCCATGGTCTCATCTTTCTTAAATGATAAATTCCTTCTAATCTCAGTGGGGGGGTGGGGTGGCATTAATTGGATATGAAATTGTCATTCTTAGGCTACTGGATTGGCTTTAGTTACTGAGGGTGGTTCCTGGGGGGGGATGTTGGGGAGATTATTCTCATGAGTTCTTCAGCCATGAGAATCAGTGCTTCAGGGGGTTCAGGCATCATGAGAAATCTGGATTTTAGTTCACTTAATTGCTAGCTTTAAGGAAACAATGGATGTCATTCATAGCTTTTATCTCCCAAATCCAACACCTTTAATGCTTAACTAATAGATTAGGGTTTTGGCAGATCGAAGAGATTAAAGTCGTGTGTGTGTGTGTGTGTGTGTGTGTGTGTGTGTGTGTGTGTACTTGCCTGAGGCTGTGCGTGCATGACTTTGTCTGGGAAGGATTGCTGAGTTCCTGAGTCCCTGTCCACACACGTTCCGGATGTTGTCTAATGAAAGCCAAACAACGGTGAGGTCAACGTCCCGCTCTGTGCAGCCTTCCCCTCTTTTTACACGGTGAGCTAGGAAGAGGCTTTTCAGGCTGGAGAAGGGGTACTCATGGGAGCCTAGCAAGGGGAGATCTTGAGGTGAGAGCACCCCGGGGGAAGGGAAATAAGGTGTCCCTCACAGTGGGTGATGTGAATGGCCCTGGAAAGCCTGTCACCCCAATACTGCCCCGTTTTTGGGGGTGCATACTTTGGATAGATCACATCACTTTTATCCTTTCCTTTCTGTTTTAAAGGACACAGACCATAGTGTGGGGGGAGGGGATGAAGTCATGAACACTGTAGTAAGAAATGGATGCATGCCCCCAGTGGAGTGATCCAAGGCAGCTTGTTGTGGGGAATCAGCTCTTGAAAAAGTTGAAAGGGGGGGGGGGGGCGTTGGAGAAAGGGAAGAAGCTGGCATACCCCTGTTGGGCCTTGGACTTCACAGGTGCAGTCTTTAAGTATGCACTGTGTTTTGGGTGATTCGTACCAAAATCCAGGGTACTGCTGGTTTTGGACACTTGAGGGGTGTGTGTGTGTGTGTGTGTGTGTTGCATATTTCGACTTGGTGCATATTTCCAAGAACGATTTGCGCAGGAACCTCCATGGCTTGCTGGACGTTACTATCCGAGTCCAGATGACTGAAAACCACTCTTTCCTGACTTTGATTTCAGGCTCTAATTCTGTCTCCACAAGAGGCTTCCTTTCCGCCGCTGTCTGCCAGACAGCGCATTGCCAGCCTTTCCTCTGAAGTGGTTTGTTTTGAGAGTCCTTTGAATCTAGATGGCCTTGTTACTGCTTGAAAGGAAAGAATGGGTTTGGGTGACACCCACTTTTGTCTGCCTTTGGCTTTGAGTGGATGTCTTCTCTGTTAATACCGCTTTAAAAATAAATAATTCCCTTGGGCCTGTGACGCTCTTAACTGGTCTGCTCTGAGGACAGTGTCTGTGACTAAATGAGCCTGATGATAGGAGGAGGAAAAATGACCACAAAATCGGATTTTGCTAAGTGTTTTGCGTGGCGTTGAGACAAAGGGCAAAGTGGTTGAAGGGGGATGCGGTGGGGGTGTGGGGGAGGTATTGAGTGCTGACTTTGAAAGGCTCAGAGAGGTTGTGCTTGCTGCCCCAGAGATTGCTCCTGGATACCTATGAAATGCATCATTTGGGCACATAAGTTACTGTTACGTTTTTTAAAAAAAACTTGATAAAATAAGGATAAGGCTTACAGAGAAAAGCAAGGTAGATCTCAGGTAGAGAGCAGGTTTTATAGGCAGGGCGGTACGAAGGGGAAAATGGTTGATGCCACAGAGATTTCCTTGGGGGATCAAGTCTTTCTAAGGTACAAGGTTGGGCATATTAATGATTGGCTAAGATGTTTCAATATCTTGTTCTAACCTTTGGTTAAAAAAAAAAATAAGCCGGAGCTATTTTGGGGCTAAAAATAAGGGTTGCCTGCTTAGTAACTTGCCAGTAATGATGGTTTGAGCACGACAGTGCCAGATACCTGGAGTGAAGGAGTTACTAAAAATAGAAATTACTATGTGTTGCAGAACAGGAAATAGGACTAATTTGAGAGATGGCCTTTTGGCAGATCTGTTTTTAGCAAGTATTTCTGAAACAAACAGGTGCTAAATCCTGTGGGTTTTTCTCCCCCCCAGAGTGCTAAAAACTTAGGGGTAATAGCTCCGAAGAACAAGAAATATTTAGAGAACTGGAAATTCCTATTAATCCTCAGTAGGGATTTCTTGGCAAGAAGGAGGCATTTGGCCACAGCACCTGCTCAGTGTGTCGCGAGTGACAAGGCAGCGCCTATAATTTCCGAGATTGGACGCTGCAGCGGCGCATCCTTTCTGAACTTGCTGCCCTGTCTCATCTTTTTTGAAGTCTGCGTGAGCGACGGCAGTTGGCGCGTAGGGCTCAGTTCTCAGTGTTCATTGATACCCTGGGCTCGTGGGCTTCAAAGGGAGCTTTGAATTGGCACCGCAGTGCTGCAAGGTGCCTGGGAAGAGCCGTACAACCCTAAATTTTCCCCGCAGGTGTTGAGTCACCGTGCAGGCTGAGTTTGGTGGCTGCATTCTGCTCCTGCGGTTCCAGGGCAGGATGTCGGGGTGGCGGGGGTTAGCCCCCCTGAAGGTGTGGGGAGCGGCGGCTGGGTCTGTCCCAGAGGCACGGGCAGGCTGGGTATTCTCTGTGACGAGGTGATTTGGGCACCAAGTATCATTTCTCTCCGGATCGACGCCCCCTCTCGATTATTCATGGTCACCGAGGGACCTGCTCTCTTGGCTAATTGAAACCCAGAGAAAAATCCCTAAGCCTTATTTTTAGCAAACCGGTGAAGCCCCTTCCTCTGCCCAGCCCGGGGCCCTGGCTGTCCCGCGTGCTGCCCTGAGCTGAATGTCA